CCACGAAGCGGTGTCACCAAGTGAAGATGATTACAAAGTTGCCTGAGTTGCTATGACAGCTCCAGTTTGCTTGGAGAGTGATGTGCAGGCCAGGGTGGATCGAATAATGGCACAACGCGATAAGGGATGGATAGATGGATTTTTCCACAATTAGATGAAATGGCCTTAGCTTTTCCTTACATTTTATTTAGCCCTGCTCCCTAAAAGGTGTTCTCATTCCGACTGAAATGGACTACCATTTCGACATGAATGGGAACAAATTTTCGTAATCACTTCACTGGAAACGTAAGATGGGAAAACTTAATTATAATTCCTTCATCACCTTATGCGACCTAGTGTGACTAAAAACCTTATACACGATTAGCTGATATTCTCACAAATCTACTTTATGTGATTTTCAGGGCAGTTGAGCCGGATCCAGATTTCCTCAAACTGCTGGCTGGACTGAGCCGAAGGATGACTTTTAAGCACACAAATGGAATGGACAAAGAACCAGCTTGAGGCCAGAAAGGCTGGTAGACCGAATGTCTTTGGAATGGAAGTGGATCCGAGGTGATTTGGGCTTTGATGAACTCTCGAAGCATATCAAAGCACTATCACGGGTCTCAATCCTGCAGGTGTATTACGCATTGAAGAGCTCTATTCAAAAGATCGTCTTACTTTTAGTCTCATCTACCTCATCCAGTAGTACTATTTCTTTTATTCTTTTTATGTGATTTCGACAAAGTTGATTTCTGATTGAAGTTATGAAGACCAAGATGTTGTGGCCTCTGGTATGGTTGCAGTCTCCTTTCGATTTATACAAATGGGTTGACCTCGTTGTCGCTTCATGTTGTGGCCTCTGGTGTGGTCGCAGTCTCCTTTCGATTAATTGGCTGGTCCGAGATGGAGAAGATGCTCTCGCGAGTGGGGTTGTGAGCCTAAACGGGCAGAAGTGGGTTGTGTCTTGTTGTCAGGGCGACTATGTAGAACGCACCTAGTCCGAAGTCGTCTGTCATAGTAGTTGTCATGATAATCAGCAACACACAGTTGGCTTGGTACATTCTCAAACGTTTCGTCGGCATCATCAGTTAGTTTTGCCATTATTAGAACCAAGCTACGAACTCGTCAGAGAGAGATTGGCTTCATTCGTCTCTTTGACGAGTTCGTAGCTTCGTGTGGTGAATGGCAAAACTGACTGACGAGGCGACGAAACGTTTGAGAATGTACCAATTCCACTGTCTGATGCTGGGAATCATGGCAACTACTATGGCAGACGACTTCGGACTAGGTGCGTTGAGTTCTCATGTTTTGTATGTAAGTATGGTTTCGAGACTACCGGTCAATCAGTAACATGAGATGTATTCACCCTATTTCGTTTAAGATGATGAAGGTCTGGTAGTTGTTGATATTTGGCCTAAGCATCCTCGACTGTAAAGCACCATGTGAAAAGATGTCCAGCATCCTTACCATTTTTCCATTTTCATCAGAGATCTGCCTCCACTTCACACCTGCCGGAGGATCCTTTATAGTAGTCAACAGGTATAATGTCGTTTAAAGTCGTTGAGTGAGTCTCCATCTGTCTTTTTTGGCCAGATTGTCAAGAGCATTTCCATCAAGTACATGCTATACTATGGTACAACAAGTTTTCGATTAGTCCAGTATGATATAATTTTTATATTATATTATATTATATTATATTATATTATATTATATTATATTATATTATATTATATTATATTATATTATATCACAATCTATTATGCTATGATTATAGAACAGATTGGCATATAATGTAATAAATCAAATACTCTGTTTTATAGTGAGTCAACGGGAACTCTTAGAAACAAGGATAGGAGGTCCAAGATGGTGACGCATTGGGTTGGGCTGCGATTTCCCTTAGCTGTGTGAGGGTGGTTTGACATGTTTTTTTTCATTCTAGAGGACTTCGTCGCTCACGGTGTGTTCTGCCACTGCCGTCATCTGTTCTGACGACAACGACCCTTGATCGGGTGGATTCCAAGACGGCTTTGCCGAAAGCCTCAGTGGGCGGCGCCATTTCGGATGTCAGAAGAAGGCATGGCAACAATCGAGGATGAAGCGGAACGGGCCAGATTCTCGACGTCTCTTCCTAAACGCGACTGGGTTGTCAACGCGATTTCATGAGTCACATAAATGAGGCCTACTCGTATACTTTGGGAAAATGTACCCCAAACGAAATAGAGTGAGCACATGACATACATAAAATCTAATGCTAGTATCGTAAATCTACTTAAAAACGATAAATAAGTAATGCAGTCGTTTACTAAAGCAAGGATAACTTTGCATCATCTACAATCCTACCACAGAATATGGTAGAGTAAACGTCTGATCGTCCTTGAAATTCACATCCGCCCTCTGACTCAAGGTCACTTGTGGAAGTCTGATGTAGTGGTTCACGTATCGAGTTTATATGCTGCCATGCTCGCATGGTTCGAGTCCCGCCGGGGGTGCAGATGAAACGAGTTGAGGTCTCAGTCCATTCCATCCAGGAAGCGAATACCCTTTTGGAAAGCACTTCAATGTGAAGTTCAAAGAAACTTAAGATTGTGGAAAAATTCACTAACAACTCCCTCTCGACGTTAACTGAAACGAGGAGAAGATATCTCATAAATACCATTCCTCCAGTCGAGTTACCCACCAACAGGTTGCCTGACCAGTCGACATGGCTACACCCATCAAGGACTGACTGTTGGCTGAGAGACTGTCCACTGTACTGGAGGGTGGCAGTCGGGATCTCAGCTGCGAAGGTACAGACGAGCCGACCTGGTCCGTATCATTTCTACATGCTGCCCAGCCTGCGCTACAGCTGCCAAAGCCATTGGTTCTGAGGCCTGTTGTGGTTGGAGGGCTCGAGTTATTCCCGAAGGTCCCCGGCATCGAGGCGCGCTCGTTGGCGCAGGCAAGTGCCTCTCCGACGGATCCGTGGAGACCGCATGGCTGGCCGAAGGGCTGGAAGTCGAATGGAGAGTTGGGTTCGGGGCCGGAGTGCAGCGAGGAGGTGAGGAGGTGAGTGTGGCTTCCGAGGGTGTTGCTCGACGTGGAGGCCGAGGGGACAGCGGGAGCTGTTGCCGGGGCCAGCGGTCTTGAAGAGGAGGAGACAGAATGGATTGACACTTCCGAGTCGGTGGGTTGATGCCAGACAACCAAGATGGCGTTGCCCTCGACGCTGCACAACTCGGACAAGAATTGCGGCGCTTCGGGGACTGGAAATTGGGAAAAAGGATTGTGTAAAATGCTCAAAATCAAGCACGAAAATATTGACAATTTTAAGAATAATACTCAAGCCTGACAACTGGCAAACTTTGGGTATGCATTATTTTGTTGAGCTCCCTTCCATTTTGAAGGAAAGTG